AAAATATTTTAATTCAGAAATAAACTTTTATATACAGGGTAGGGTAGAATTATTTTTACAGCACAGAATTACCTGTAATGTAATCTAAAATATATATACTGTATGCTTTCAAATAAATTAAAAGTCATAAAAAATAATTAAAGGAAATATGACAAAATTTTAACAAAGATCACATCTTCAGTGGAGTCCTTGGCTTTTTTTTGAATTGCGTAACAGTTTTGCATATGTGTATAATTTTTTTTCAATGATTATATGTTACTTTTAAAATTAAGGAAAAATTTACTAAAATTGTAGAAAAATTAATAGAATAATTAACAATAACTATATAACTAAAAATTAATAGAATTATTAACAGTAGAAATTGTTGAATATGTTTGAATATGGAGGGAGAGGGAGGGGTGACTAAAGAAATAACTTTTAAAGTCAGATATAATATCAGATAAAAATGTCATTAGCAAAAGAAAAACACTAAAAATAAATTTGAATTCTGAGAATATAAAAAAGCAGATAAAATGAGCAAAGACTTAAATATATATGACAGAGGGTTTAATATATATGAGATATTAACCTTTCCTCAAAAACATCAGTGGGTTAGGTAGTAAATGTTCCAACCAATATATACATAAAGGCCATGAACAGACAACTCACAAAGGAGGAAATACAGGGATTAAAAAAAAAAAAGTATATGAAACCTGGTTTATAATCAAACAAATGAAAATTACAACAGCAAGAAAGAGTCATTTTTTACATTCCTTTTTTCTTTTATTATTACTTTTTAAATTTCTAGTATAGTTAACATATAGTGTTATATTAGTTTTGGGTGTACAATATAGTGATTTAAACAATTCTACATATTACTCGGTACTCATCATGATACGGATACTCATTAATCCCCATCACTTATTTTCATCTGTCTCTCCACACACCTCCTACTCTGATAATCATCAGTTTATTTTCTATAGTTCAGTGTCTGTTTCTTGGATCTCTCTCTCTCTCTCGGTTTCCTTTTGCTTTTTTGTTTCATATATAAATGGAATTATATGGTATTTCTCTTTCTCTGAGTTATTTCACTTAGCAGTATACTCTCTAGCTCGATCCCTATTGTTGCAAATGACGAGATGCCATTCTTTTTTTTTTTTTTTTTTTTTGGCTGCAAAATATTCCCTTGTGTGTATATATACACCACATCTTCTTTATCCATTCATCTACTGATGGACACTTGGGCTGCTTCCATTTTTTGGCTATTGTGGGCAATGGTGCTATAAACACAGGGGCACACAGGGGTGCATGCATCTCTTTGATTAGTGTTTTTGTATTTTTTGGGTAAATACCCTGTAGTGCAATTACTAGATCGTAAGGTAGTTCTATTTTTAACATTTTTTAAAAAATATTTTATTTTTAAATAATCTCTACACCCAACATGGGGCTCAAATTCACAACCCCAGGATCAAGAGTTGCAGGCTGTACAGACTGAGCCACCCAGGTACCCCTATTTTTAACTGCATGAGGAGATTCCATACTATTTTCCACAGTGGCTGCACCAGTTTGCACTTCCACCAACAGTGCAGAAGGATTCCTGTTTCTCCACATCCTTTCCAGCCCTTATTTTCTTGTGTGTGTTTTTGATTTTAGCCATTCTGACAGGTATGAAGTGATATCTCATTATGGTTTTGATTTGCATTTCCCTGGTGATGAGTGATGGTGAGCATCTTTTCATGTGACTGTTGGCCATCTGTATATCTTCTCTGGAGAAATGTCTATTCATGTCTTCTCTCCATCTTTTAAATTGAATTATTTATTTTTGGGGGATGTTGAGTTGTATAAGTTCTTTATATATTTGGATACTAATGCTTTATCAGATATGTCATTTGCAAATAACTTCTCCCATTCAGTATGTTGCCTTTTAGTTTTATTGATTGTTTCCTTTGCTGTGCAGAAGATTTTATTTTGATGTAGTTCCGTAGTTTAATCCCACTTGATTGTGGTAAATGATTTTTTCAATGTATTGTTGAATTTGGTTTGCTTGTATTTTGTTGAGGATATTTGCATCTATATTCATCACATATATTGGCCTGTAGTTTTCTTTTTTTGTTAGTGTCTTTATCTGGTTTTTGTATCAGAGTAATGCTGGCTACATAGAATTAATTAGAAAGTTTCCTTTCTCTTCTATTTTTTTGGAATAGTTTGGGAATAGATCTATAAACCCTCTTTAAATGTTTGGTAGAATTCACCTGTGAAGCCTTCTGGCCCTGGAGTTCTGTGGGCTGAGAGTTTTTTTGATTACTGATTCAACTTCATTGTTGGTAATCAGTCTCTTCAGATTTTCTATCTTCCTGATTTGCTTTTGGGAGATTCCATGTTTCTAGGAATTTATCCATTTCTTCTAGGTTGTCCAATTTTTTGGCGTATAATTTTTTATAATATTCTCTTACAATCTTTTTGTCTCTGTGGTGTCGGTTATTTCTCCGCTTTCATTTCTTAGTTTATTTACTTGAATATTCTCTTTCTCTCTTATTGTTTGTTTGTTTATTTATGATGAGTCTGGCTAAAAGTTTATCAACTTTTTTGATCTTTTTAAAGAACCAGCTCCCAGTTTTATTGATCTTTTCCATTGTGTTTTTGTTTGTTTTGTTTTGTTTTGTTTTGTTTTGTTTGTTTTATTTTTGTTTTGGTTGCTTATTTGTTTGTTTGGTTTGGTTTGGTTTTAGTTTCAATTTTGTTTATTTCTGCTCTAATCTTTATTATTTCCTTCCTTCTACTGGTTTTAGGTTTTATTTGTTGTACTTTTTCTAGTTTGTTTATATGTAAGTTTATGCTGTTTATTTGGGATTTTTGTTGCTTTGTGAGGTAGGCCTGTATTGCTGTAAACTTTCCTCATAACAGATTTTGCTGCATCTCAAAGATTTTGGACAATGGTGCTTTCGTTTGTGCACTTTCAAAATTTTTTCATTTGTGTACTTTCCAAATTTTTTCTTGATGTCGACTTTCATAGTGCCTATGGTCAGAAAAGATGCATGGTATGATTCAGATCTATTTGAATTTGTTGAGACTAGATTTGTGTCCTTATATGTGATCTATCCTGGAGAATATTCCATGTGCACTTGAAAAGAATGTATATTCTGTTTTAGGATAGAGTTTTCTGAATATATCTGTTAATATCCATCTGGTCCAGTGTGCCATTCAAATCACTGTTCCCTTGTCTGTCTGGATGATCCAGCCATTATTGTAAGTCAGGTGTTAATGTCCCCTACTATTATTTTATTACTCCTGAGTATTTCCTTTATGTTTATTATTGATTGCTTTATGTATTTGGGTGCTCCCATCTTGGGTGCATAAATATTTACAATTGTTATACCTTTTGTTGGATTGCACCTTTTATGATTATATGGTATCCTTTATTGTCCTTTGTCACAGGCTTTGTTTTAAAGTCTATTTTGTCCAATATAAGTATTGCTACTTTGGCTTTCTTTTTACTCCATTTGTTTAATAAATGTTTCTCCATCGTGTCACTTTTAGTTTGCATGTGCATTAATTCTGAAATTAGTTTTTTGTAGACAGCATATAGATGGGCCTTCTTTTTTTTTTAATTCTTTCTGTCACCCTTTGTGTTTTGTTTAGAGTTTTTAGGCCATTTACATTCAAAGAAATTATTGATACATGTGTATTTATTCCTATTTTTTATTTGTTTTATGCTCTTTTTGTTTTGTAGTCCCTCTGTGTTCCTTTCTTCTCTTGTTCTCTTATGATTAACTGGCTTTCTTTAGTGAAATATTTGGATTCTTACTCTTCATTTTTTGCATATCTATTACTATTTTTTTATTTGTGGTTATCATTTAGTTTATATATAATATATTCTGCATATAGCAGTGTATATTAAGTTGATGATTGCTTAATTTTGAACCCATTCTTTTCTCTTTCCCACATTTCAAATATTTGGTATTGTATTTTACTTTCTTTTATTTTGTGCTTCTCTTGATTGATTTTTACAGATATACTTAATTTTCTTGCTTTTGTCTTCCTATTTTTCTCACTCTTTTTTCCCCTGCTCACATAGTACCCCTTAACATTTCTCGTAGGGCTGGTTTAGTGGTCATGAATTCTTTTACCGTTTTTTGTCTGTGAAACTTTTAATCTCTCCTATTCTGAATGATAGCCTTGCTAGATGGAGTATTCTTGCCTGTAGTTTTTTTCCTTTTCAGCACTTTGAATATATCATGCCACTCCCTTCTGGCCTGCAAAGTTTCTGTTGAAGAATCAGCTGATAGCCTTATGGGGTTTCCTTTGCATGTAACTATCTTATTTTCTCTTACAACCATTAAAATTCTTTCTTCATCACTATTTACTGCCATTTTAATTACTATGTGTCTTGATGTGGACCTCCTTGGGTTTAATTTGTTGAAGAATCTTTGTGCCCCCTGATTTTGGATCTCTGTTTCCCTTCCCAAGTTCAGGATGTTTTTAGCTATTATTTCTTCAAGTGCATTTTCTGACCACCACCCCGTCTCTCCCTTCTCCTTCTGGTATCCTTATAATGCAAATGTTATTATGCTTGAAGATGTTGCTGAGTTCTCTGTGTTCTCATTATGCAATATTTGTTTGTCTCTTGTCTGTTCAGCTGGTTTCCTTTCATTATTCTATCATCCAGTTCACACTGATACATTCCTCTGCCTCCTGTAGCTTACTATTATTCCATATTTTGTATTTTTAATTTTATCTGTTGAGTTTCCCACCTCTGATATGTTATTTTTTTTTTAACTTTTTTTTCAACATTTATTTATTTTTGGGACAGAGAGAGACAGAGCATGAATGGGGGAGGGGCAGAGAGAGAGGGAGACACAGAATCGGAAACAGGCTCCAGGCTCCGAGCCATCAGCCCAGAGCCTGACGCGGGGCTCGAACTCACGGACCGCGAGATCGTGACCTGGCTGAAGTCGGACGCTTAACCCACTGCGCCACCCAGGCGCCCCTCTGATATGTTATTTTTTTATCTCTTTGTTAAGGTTCTCATTGATGTCCTCCACTCTTTTCTCAAGTCCAGTGAGTATCTTTATGATCATTACTTTAAATTTTCTATCAGGTGCATTACTTATTTCTGTTCTGTTTAGATCTCCTGCTATGATTTTGTCCTCTTCTTTCATTTGGGACATATTCCTCTGTTTCCTAATCTTGTCTACCTCTCTGTGTCTGTGTCTGTGTTTTAGGAAAGTCAGCTACGTATTCTGCTCCTATACCTAGTGGCTTTATGAAGAAGAGATCCTGTTATTCAGTATCCCCTCTTCACTAGAACCTGGCACTTCAGGAGAGTATCCTATATATGTTGCTTGCACCGTGCTGTTGTGTCTAAATTGCTTTTCCTTTCAGTCCAGTCTTCTGCAGTGTCTGTCTGCCTGTTCTGCTCTGTGCTTGCTCTCTGTGATGTTAGTGGAACTCAGGCAGGCCAGCTCTGAGGGGGCTTGCCTGAGGGGAACTCAGGGGTGGGACAGCAGTATTAGCAAAATGTACAATGAGCTAGTTTTAGGCCAGATCTTCCAAAGGAGAGCACATAGTGGAGCTGGGGTTGTGGTGTATTTGCACTGATCCCAGGGCCCAGACCAGCAGACATGGAGTGAGTCCTTGGGAGAACTTGTTGGCAGGGTATACTGCTAGTAGGTTAGGTAGCAAGTGTCTGTGCAGCACTGCCTTCCACAGGTGGCCCTGTGTTTACACTACAGGATAGAGGAGGAAAATGGCATCTGCCATCTCCTTCATTCCCAGAGAAGTCCCCAACATGCTCCAAAATCCATATAAACAGATCTCCCTACTGTTGCCTCAGGCATTGTGCAAAATGCTGCTTCTATGTTACCTCTCTGTGGGCTGCTATCTTTTTAAGGGTGAGGACTCAGCTATCCCTCCTCTTCGAGGCACACCTAGTGCTGAATCAGCTGACCTTTGAAGGTCCAGGTTCCAAGTCTCCCTGGTTATGCAAACTCACAGAATTCAGCCCTTCTAGTTTTCAAAGCCAAACTTTATTGGGATTTGTCTTCCCCAGGTAGGCTTCCTGGTGCAAGAGACAATTTCTCTCCCCTCTCTGTGCTTGCAGCTTCCTCCCTTCTATGGGGAGCTCCCCACCAAGTGGTTTCTGCCTTCCCTAACCTACAATGCAGCTTCTCTACATGGAGTTGTGGAGTTTGTTCTGCCAGTCTTCAGATATTCTCTAGTTTATTTACATGGTTGTGAGTGATATCTAGTTGTAAACATGAGACAGGGTGAGCTTAGGGTACTGGTACTCTGCCAGGTTCCCAACCTCCATCTCATCACATTTCATAAGTGAGCAAATAATTATAAACCCAATACTGGCAAGAGTATGCAGGCATATTTTGTTGATAAAGTATAACCAGGACAATTTTTGCCTAGAAATTTAGAAGCCACACTGATGACTTAAAAATCTTCTACTTTCTGTCTCAGTAATTTCACTTCTGGGAGTCTTAATGTAATATTCCTAAAGTATTGTGAAACTATGAAAATATGGTCATTATTATGTTATATATTAGAAAAAATAAAGGTATTGGATAATTAGGTTAGAATTCATTCACGTTTTACTTGCTGGAATGCTATTTAACTATTAAATTGGTCAGGAAATAAATGCACACCTATACACACACATACATATACATATATACATACATACATACATACATACATTCACATATTACACACATATATAAGCACAGGTGTATAGTTATATGATTGTGTTAATTGTAAACATCAAGATTAAAATAGGTTATGTACTTTATGCTTACATTTGTATGAAATATTTATGTGAAAACAAGACTGGGGGAGGTAAATTACAAAGTATTACTTCTTAGGTATTCAATATACAAATGGAGGATATTCCTAATTTTTTTTTGTTTTTTCTGAAATTTTATAATCTGGTTATTCTAATTTTTAGGTAAATTAAATGAAGAAAGAAAAGAAAGAATAAAGGACAGGAGAGAAGGTGGGAGGGAGGAAGATTTATGTTTTCCTCCAGTAAACATAACATTGATTGAATTAAGTGAATTTAAGATGCGACATTAATGAATAGTTTGAAGAAGGCAAGGAGGGTTGTCTGTGATCGTTAACTTTGCTCTAAAAAGGAACATTAAAAAATATTCCTTTTATTTTCTGATAAAAAAAGGACAGTTCTGCTTCTATGTATTTTTTCCCCTTTGTATTTCTTTTTTTTTTTTTTTTTTTTAATTTTTCAACATTTATTTATTTTTGGGACAGAGAGAGACACAGCATGAACGGGGGAGGGGCAGAGAGAGAGGGAGACACAGAATCGGAAACAGGCTCCAGGCTCTGAGCCATCAGCCCAGAGCCCGATGCGGGGCTCGAACCCACGGACCGTGAGATCGTGACCTGGCTGAAGTCGGACACTTAACCGACTGCGCCACCCAGGCGCCCCTCCCCTTTGTATTTCTAATAGAGAAATTGAAATTTCTCTAATAGAGAAATAGAGCTCTAGCATTAAAAATATGTGGGCATCAGGGATATCAAAGAATTATGTAGGGGGAAAAAAAAAGTGACTTGGCTATTATTCCAAATCATCTACTTCCTTTAGTTTGTGCCATTTTCTGGAATTTGTAAGTCTAGTTATCTACTCTAGCTTTGCATTTCTAAGCGTTTCCTCCCGAGTGAATGTAGCTTTTATTACAGCTCTCCAAATCTATGGTCCTTGAGCCCATATGAATTAGCACTAAAAACATGTTTATAATTTTGGAGTAAAATAAGATTATATATTCAAAATTTAATATAAGGCCTTTTCACGTACTAGTATCCTTCAGTTTCTTAGCACATCAAAATTACAGGCTTGTTTATACACATGGGCACAACCCAAGACTGTCTGAAAATTTTCCTGTGAGTTTCGCATGAAGGAAGTAGTTTTGTGATATTTAGAAGGGAAATATGTCATACACAGTTAGGGTTAAAATTTTAAAAAAATCAGCAAATTTCAAAAAGCCATTTGAAAAGTATACTAATACATTTGAAAAAATTTATATCATTTGTTCAGTAAACACTTAGGGTATTTCTTGGCATATCTATATCTATATCTATCTATATTTATATCATCTGTATCTATCATCTATTTATCTATCTATGTATATACTGTACATATTATTTTATGACTGGAAAAAATAGCTTAAATTTTATTTTTTTCAGCTTTTTCATCTATAAATTAGAAATAAGAATAGTATGTAGCTGTATTTTATTAAGGTGTTATGAGATAATACACATGAAGTGCTTAGAAGAGTGTCTGACAAAAGGGTTAAAGAAATGTTCACTGTTGTTATCATTACTATTTTTGATTGCCAGGATATGTTGACTTTTTTTAAATTAAATATTACATTTTGGAAGTTTGTTGCATAATGGCAAAAGAACCGTTTAAGCTAGAATAATATATTTCAGTGTAACTAATACCTTACATTTCAATAGGAAGAAAATCATATTATTTAATTTTATTCTCATAGTTAGATATTAAATCAGAAAAATAAAAAAAATCTATAATTATACAGTTAATAAATGGCATATGTGAGACTTAAGTTCTAATTTTGGCATTTCTTCCCAGATACTCCATTGTGACTTTTTAATCTGAATTTACTATTTAGTTAATCATTTAAATATATAATTTTATAAAAATAAAATCCTAAATAATTCTGGAGGCAGAAGACCCATAAAGACACATGAATGTTTATACTTGAAATCAGTATATACAACTGTGTTATAAAAGTGAAACTGATTTGATAATTTTGTTTATTTAAATCTGTAATCTCATGCTTGATACAGTGGCCAGGGGTTGAAAGTGTCAGCTGTCAAAATGTAAATTACTGAAGTGTATCTTAGGGAGAAGTGATGGTGTTCAGACTTACCAATCATGTGGCAAATAATTAATATGTATCAGGGACTGTAATTTCAGATAATATGGAGAATTTTTCAGTCATTCCCAAACTATTTGTGTGCATTATCTGAGATACACTGCTTGATAGAGATTCTCAGAAATACATGAACCCTATTTCTATGATACCCTAGTAGCAATAGGAAAATGTGGTTAGCCAGCCTGAAACCTCTATCTTACTTATTTTTTTTTTAATTTTATTTATTTATTTTAAGAGACAGGCAGAGAGAGGGAGGGAGAGAAAGAATCTCAATTAGGCTGCACGCTGTCGGCACAGAGCCTGAATACATGAGAATATGACTTGAGCTGAAATCAAGAGTCGGATGCTTACCTGACTGAACCACCTAAGTGCCCCTGTATCTTACTTCTGATGGCAAAAGTGAGACTAACAGACAGAAATTATAGGTTGGCAGGTTTATGCATAATATAAAAAAGTTGTTTCTAATTGCTCATGCCTATGAGTTTACTCATAAGGTAAATCCCTATTGTAGAATGTGTAAACACATGCTTCATGCCCTCTCTGCAGAGATGTTTTAGACTAGCGTCAGGCTAAAACTGTAGAGTTGGGCTAGGCCCTTCAACTCTAAATTCTAGTATTCTAATAGAGTAGATATTAGCCAAAATATAGTCAAGAAATACTCCTTAATTGGTTTGATAGGCACCAACAAAAATGATTGTTTTCTTAAACCTCTTTAAGAATTTAATAGTAATAAGACTCAATAATCAGTAGTGTTCTAAAGTTTTTGAAATAGTTGTTTGCATATTATCTCACTTAATGTACCTTTTGAAATTCATTAATTTTAATTTTTATATCCAAACTTTGTATTTACTTCTTCCAATTAGTGTATTTGCACCTTTACCAAAATTTGATCTGAAAATATGCAATGTTCACATTTTGGCATTGATTTTAGAATCTTGCACACATTTTGACTGATTTTTTTTCCCCCTATAATATAGTGGAAGTTGTTTCATTCAATACTTTCATGGCTGGCATTTGTTGATTTATTGAAAAAGTCATTTTTAACTGAGAAATCTTACAAATGATGAATATATACCTAATTTTTATGTATCAATCTATCTATGTTAATTAGTGCACATTTATTTACTATATTTGGGGTCCATT